TGTCACTGCAACTAGTAAAAAGGGAGTTTTTTCCTTTATATTGGAAAAATATTTTTGCAGGTAATCAAAAACCAACTTAATAGGTAAATATATTCAGAATATTTTAAAGATATTCAGAGTAAGTAGTAAGGACATTACAGAGTGAAGAAATTTAGTTAAAAAAAAAATGCCAGTAAGCATTTGAATTGTCCTTGACTCAGGGTCACAAAATTTACATCCATGAAATCACAAGCCTTAAGCAAGAAGTTGAGGGAAAGAGTTTGCAGAATGGACAGAGCTGCAGAAAGAGTGTTCAGATGCTTGTCTGCAGAGACTAGCCAGCTCAATTTGATCTTCTGATAGTGGACTTAGATTACACAGTCAGGATGCTAGAAATCTGTTCACACTGTTGAAGAATTCCTTAAGAAGAAAGCTGAGCATACAGCTGTGAAATTTTTTTGCAACTGATCTGGGAACGAAGCAGCAAAGATAAAGACAGAATCTAATAACGTGACACATTGTCCCTGTGGCCTAGCTTCTTATTCTCAGACTTTCTCTCTCTGCCCTTCCTAAAGAAAGACATACCTGAAAGGCTGCGCAGTAAAGACTAAATAATGAGAGGAGGGTGGATGGAGGCCATCCCTGTTAGTGAGTGGCTGTCACACAGGTCAGCTGACCATGAGACTGTTCTTTTCACTGCACGTTGCTTCCTGCAGAGGCAGAGGCAAGGTTTCCATCCTCGTTGGTTTCTGTCCCTTTTCATTTTTAACCTGCCCTGGAGCTATGGTAATTCTTGCACAGTGATTACTTTATGGCATGAAATTATATTAACTGAAGCATTCCGTTTTTTTTTTCCCCTTGTCACCATCTGGTTATGAACATTATTGTCAGAGCAAAGGTGTAAAATGTCAGTGTTGTCATTATTGATGTGTTTAGTGTCAACAGCAGGTCCCTCTGACATTAATATTGATGAAGCTACTAGTCTCTGAGCTGGGGAACTTTGAATCTTAGGTTAATACTGAAGTTTTTATCTGTGATTCTGCAGGGAAATATACATAAGAATTACCAGGCATGGGAATTCAGAAATAAATAACCACTGATGAGTCCTTATCAAGGGAGGCTTTAGTTAGAGGTACACTTTGGAGGCTGCTCCTCGAGTGAGAATGAGATCTTATTACTATTCAGATGAAGAACCCCCATGTTCCACATGCAGTGCTTATCATTTTATTTTTATATTCAAAGTGAATAATAAAATTGTATCTTCATTTGATACAACATAAGTGGCACTCAGAAAATGTCTATTTTATAAATTTCAAAAGCATGGCATAAACTACTTTTCTTCCTCTGTAGAGAGTGCTCCGTTCTTAAGCACTGTGTAGGGTTTCCTCCGCATGGGGTCTGGACTGCTCCTGTCAGGTAGCCTAAAGGAGGCTGCGGGGGTTAGCTCAGCAGAAGCTGGAGGGCCTTTAGGCCTGTGATTCGGGGCCGGACCACAGCGCTCTGATGGAAAGCCTGGCATTGTGCAGCACTAAAGATGCAGGTGTCCCCAGAGCTCACCAGCAGGATGATCAGAAAGTTTTTAGTCTCTAAACTGGTGAAACTGATTTGCAGATATACTTCTTGCTTGCTTGCTTTGCTTTTTCTTACATACTGGCTTTAATTGAAAAAAGATAAAATTCATCTTCTCCAAAAGCAAGAAAGCAAGTCAAACCTGCCAAAGACCATGTGGTTGCACAGGTAGGAAGAAGTGTGATGTTTCCACCCTCAAAGGGGAGACTCTGAGGAAAGAGCAAAGAAGAGTGTTTTTCTTTACTCAGAGGTGATCTTTTTTGACCCCCCCAAATCCTCTGGATAAGGATTTGCACATTTTGATGCACATTTTGAGTGTGGAACCCAGAAGGACCTGGCTAAAGCCAGTTGCTAAAGCCCAGCACCTACTGAATAGCTTCAAGATTGGAATGTGTTTTCCTAAAATATTTTGAAGGGCTATTTGGCTGGTTTCAGTAAAAGCCAGACTCAGAGAGTGTAAAGAAGCAATGCAGAGGCCATGCTACTGGCTGCTGTGGCCTCTGTCCCTGTAACCTTTTGTTAGCTCAGAACTAGAACACAGTTGGGAGGTTCATAAACCCACGAAGGCTCTGTTTACTTGTTTCACTTAGCAGCAACTGAGCGCTTCTGCCTTTCCTGCTCATCTGATGACTGGTGTGCTGGTGCTTCTGTGATGTACCCTTTGTTGATTGACACTGATGTGATTTATTTGAGACAACAGCTTTGTCGCTAGAGCTGTAGAATCAGTGGATGCAACGGCTTTGCTTCACGTACTTCCGGGCAAATTTTTCTGATAGTATCAGTCTCTGCAAAGACTAGTAGAAAACTGGCTCTATCATCATCTTTCCCTTTGTTCTCCTATCAAGACATCTCAACAAAATTGTCCTTTGTACCATTTGCATTAGGTAGATGCCCAGCTTTGTGAAGTAGTATGCCTCATACTTCTGTCTTACTTTTATTTGTAAATTTCCTTTAGCTCATTTAACTAAATCTTATTCCTATGACGAGTAGTTCTTTCCTGAATTTTAATCTTCCCACCAAGGTAATTCAGAGGCAGATTAAGTACTCGAATAAATGGGACTTTAGAGCCAGTGTGCCCTTTGGATATTTAGTTCAGTCCCCTGATTTCACTGATGCATAAATTGATGTGTAATTCTGATGACTTTGTTCATTAACAAATTTTCTTACAAACCCTTATGTAGGTGTCTGACAAAAGCTTAGTATTTTATTATTTTACTTTGGTATCTTATTAAAATGGAAATCTATATCAATTTCAGCTGCAGTTAACATCTGATGATCAGTGGCTTAATCACTTAGTATATTTATTATTCATTTTAACAAGGCATTTAGAAATTGTCGGGAGTCTCGGATTTGAATCTAGCTCATTTTGTCTTCAGAACCCTCGGCTTCTTCTCTTCTCAGGTCCAGCACGTTGTGTTTCTGTCTTCATGTCGTTGCCCTATGACACAGGGTGGCAGCTTTAGGAATCATGTCCATGGCAAGGGAGGAATAAGTGTGAGACCAGTACTTTTTCCTCTAAGCCCTGTCCCTTTCATCAGGAAGCGAAATCTTTTTTCTAGAAAACCCCACCCTACCCCCCCCCGAGAAAACTTCTTGCAGTTTACTGGCAAAATACCCCCTGGCCTGCCTTAACTGTAGGAGGCGAAAGTAAAATATTTGGATTTTACCAGCCTTTGTAGCAGGAGGGTAGAAGAGACGGGGAGATTGTGAGTGGCTTTTGATCAGCCAAACCAATGATATCTGTTGGAGCAGCCATTCTGAAACATACATTTGCATATATATCTATATTTTTATAAACAGACAGGAAACAGCTGGAGGGTTTGGGTTGTAGGGTCAGATTACCTGACCCTCAGGTGAAATCCCAGCTTCACTTTTTTGCTAACTCTAACCTAGAATGTTTCTCTACCTGTATTTCCTTTACTGTACATTTGGTTACCAGTTGAATATGATCACTGTGTGATTAACCCCGGGTCTGTATGTGGCACTCAAAAAATGTCAGCATCATCAGCCACATCAACACAGACCAAGCCTGGATTAAGCTTAATGATTCATAGTTTTTCCCACTTTGGAACAAAGCAACTTGAAAGAGTAGCTTCAACTTCATAATTACTAACTTAAAACTGAGATGCAGAATTTCAAGACTAGAAAAATCAGGTCATAGCAATTGTCTGCCTTTGTTGGGACAATTTATAACTGACATGCTCTTTTATTTAGAGATAAACCACTTCAGGTCTCCTATAAACCCTTCTTGAGTTGAAGCAGCATGGTAAAAGTTTTATTTTGACTAGAATCTGTCAAATCAAGGATCTGATACATACATACATATATAATAATTCTATATAATTATTTGAATAGAAACTTTTAAATAAAGCACTGCCAGTTAGCACTAAAGAAAAAAAACAGTCTCTGCCATGTTTTTCTCAATTATTCCTAGAAAAAGATAGTCATGCTTAGAGAATAAGGGAGCTATTTAAAACATGGTTGAGATTTGGTAATCCTAGCAGGAAAGCAGTGATGGGAAATCTGGAGCACCTTTTAAAAAGGCTTGTGGTTTTCAACTTATAGTCGCCTCCTGTTTTTGTTTTGTTCCCCCTGACCTCTTATTTGGTTTCCCTACATTCCTCCTTGAAGTGAAACCACCCACTAAATTAGTTCACTGAACATAGTCCTTTACAGCCGCATCCATGTTGCTGTAAATAGCATGAGTTCATCTTTTTTGATTGCTGAATAGTTAGGGGAAGGGAAGAAGAGGGATTAAACAGGAACTAGGAGAACACAGTAGACTATGGTGATGGTTCACAGGCGACTTGGTGGTAGGAATTTTACGGGGACACCTGAGAGGAGAAATCAAACATTGTACAAAAATGAATAATGATGTAAAATATGTATGTGTATGTATGTTTTTGTATATGTATATATTAAATGGTGTGGTTTTGCAGAGGTTAAACCGTAGCATCACCATAGACTGATCCCTGGAACTGAGTTTTTGTAGAGTTACAGGGAGTAGGACAGACAGTGAAGGAACACTTTTAAGCCAGGCTTAGCCAAGGTACATGAAAAGAAACACATAATTCAATCTGTGTCATGTGTGGGAAGCTCAGATGACTTGAGAAAGAATTCTAAGAGCCATCAAGTTGCCAAAAGCCAGTGTTTACAGCACCTCCAGTGTAGACCCTTCTTAGTACTTATTAGTGTCCCGGATCCTGATTCTCCCATCTAATAGTCAATAATTCTAACTGGTATTTCTTCAGAATGCAAAACAAACAGGAACTAAAATTCTAACTTAATTTCTAATCTAAATAAATGAGCCCATCATTCAGTCTCTTACAACTGTATCCCACTTTGGAGAATTAAACCAAGTTTGCATGACCAAACAGACTTGTAGGTTTCTCTGCACACATGTGTCTGTGAACTGTGCACTGACTAACATTCTTCTTTGACTTTCCTTCCAGAAAACCCGTTATGAAACATATGTCAGTATTCTAAAGGAAGGAGGCAAGGATTTCCTGATTAACAGTGAAACTGAGGCTGCTGGACTGAAGAAGTCACATTCTAGTCCTTCACTGAACCCAGATTCATCCCCAGTCATTGCCAAGGTCAAGCGTAACGTGTCTGAGAGAAAAGATCACCGACCGGAAACACCAAGCATTAAGCAAAAAGTTACTTAAGAGTCCATCTGTGGCCAGGAAGTGCTGGTCATGGAGCAAAATAGGGTTTTCAAGATCTTTCTGGTAAATCCGTAAACATATTTAAAAAAAAAGTCTGTGACTAAATGGTGCATTAGTAAACTTTTCTATTGTGTATTTTCGTTAGTTTTCTGTACAGATTGTCTCTTTGCTCTTGATTTCTTTGCTCTGATGAGTTTTGCTATTTGATTACTAATGCACCTTTTTTGTGAGGGGGAGGGGATCGTAATTTCAGATTGAATTATGTGTCTCTTCTCCTTTGGTTTTCTCTTGTTTGCACTCTGCTCAGTTGTTTCATGTAGTCTCAGATCAGCTGTTACACTTTTTTTTAAGGTTAAAAATTTAATCTATTGTGAAACTCTTAACTGGACAAACTTCGTAGTTTAGTAAATTCTAGCCAGAGTTAATATAAGCCTTTATATGTGAAATCTTGCCCAGTCACAGAGGTGGATTGAGCACTTACAGAAGTTCAACTGAGATTGCAGTTCTGGGAATCAAGATGTTCCAGCGTGATGCAGCTCTGACAGCTCTTAGTGCTTGTTGAGTTGTGACCCTGCTGGAAGCCAAGAAAGGAGGCATGAAGAGTGCAGGACTGGAGGACCTAGAAGCACCTTCACTTGCTTGGAGGGTTGATTCTGCTTCAGCCACACAGGGAAAGAGGAAGTAGAATCTTTTTGCCATTAAAGGTTGAGGAAAGATTGACACCAAGTTCATACTGTTTGCTGGATGGCAATAGCAAGAATGGACTCTTGGGGAACTGTGGTGGTGGCCTGTGTTTGATCTGCAGGAAAGTGTTACACCCCCCCCACCCCCACCCTTGGGGTATAGACTAGGAATCCAGAATCATCTTTGTTACCAGTACCCTGCCATTCAGAAATAAGTTCTTTTTTTTTTTATATATAACACATATATAGATGTGGAGTTATCTCCTGGTTGTAAGAATAGTGGGGTCTTCCTAACAAAATTATGTTGAAAATGGAACCCCTTTTGTTCTTTCTTTAATCAAGACAAAATAAGAGAGGGAAAAGTAGTTACATTTGTCCAGCAATAAAATAGCAACCCTTTAAATTAAATCTGAAAGGAGGAAACCGTCTGAATGAATTGTGGTTGGAAAACAAAATTCTGGTGGTTACGTATGCAGAGTTACCTATGCTGTTCTTTTCTGTCTCTGACAGCCGCTGTGCTCTGCTACTACTTAACTTTCTCCTTAAGATAAAGTCTTTATCTCATTTCAATCATTTCTTCCTGTCTACTCAAAATAATTCTATCACCCTTATAATCATGAGCATGTTCCAGAGACAGCTCTTTGAAATTCAGATGGTAAACAGAACATTCTCTTGTCGAGAAAGAGAAAGGAGTGAAAATTGAGTCCTTTATGAGTTAGAACTTGATGACTCTGAACCCTTAAAACCTTGTGACCCTTAAGACTGTAATGTCCACAAATGACACAACTTAAGAATGAATGGAATCACTTTCTATGCCTTTTCCCACCTACAGAAATTTGCTTTAGTTCTACTCAGTTTATTAAATAAAGGTACTATGACCAAAGAATCCGAGGCCCACATGAATAGCATGGTCCTGGCCCATTAGAAGAAACCTGCTATTAAACCCTGATAGCTCCTAATGGCATATTGGTCTCATGTATCAGCATTATTTCTAGGATTATTTATTAACATTCTGTTCCTCCATCTATAAATGCCCATTTGTACTGGTGCCCAGAAAAGAGTAACCCTTCTCCAAGGTTGCTTTCCGTGTGATGTCTTTTGCCACGCCTTTGAAAAACGTGTTCTTGCTTAGGTGAAGGCAAGGACTAAACTGATGTCTGAAAACTAAGAAACAACAGGGCAGTTACCGTCTGGGCTGGTACCTGATTCTCTGACTCTAAGATTTTCGCAAGGGAATCATCTTTCTTCCTGTTTGTGTGCTGCCTAGTTACTTATCCTCAACAAAAGGGAAAGAGGCGAATAGGTGTTATCTCGTGAGTTTCAGTAGCTAAAGAAAATAAACACCCCTGACTGCTTGAATGTGTCTGCCCACAGCGTTAGTGTGTCTATGTTTATAGAATGTCTCAGTGACTTAATTATAGTGTATAATAGACATGGAATGGTACCTAGCCGCAGTGATTCTGACATGTAAAATGGTTCTGAAATAGTGGCTTAGCCTCAGCACCACTATAGCTCTGTTCCCGTTATAGGACAGGATTCACCAATATTACCTCCAGGAACTTCAGGATAAGCTAACTGGATGAGAAGGGTGCTTTTGAAGCCTCAGTGTACCACATTTGCATAGGTTCACTTTAAAAACAATGGCAAAACTTGTTTTGTGAGCCAGCATACCAGATTGTCCAGCCGGAAGTCATCCATCTTTTGGAGCTGGGCTCAGAACACCTCTCCCCTGAAACCTCTGGAGATCTTGTCTGTTGGTGCACCTTGTAGTCCAAGAATTTGTCCTATGCTTGAAAATGGCCCCTGATTTGACCAGATTCTCAAATCTTGCCCATAGCTAGCTACATTTTCTTTTGTGATGAGTTCTGTCCTATGGCATCTAGTCAGAAGAGATTGAAGACATTTCCTTTCACGTCGACTTCAAGCCTAACTTCATGGTACAGGGGAGTGCTCCTCATCCCTTCTGTCTAATGGTACTCCTCCTCCCACATCCCCATACCTCACCTGTATCTCAGCACCAGGAGCCTTGGGATTTGTCTCCATGCGATAACTCATTGTTCCTCTTCACATAAATATACTTCATATTAAGGTTTAGTATAGAAAATCTTGATGGGCATCAAAATACCTTGAGGATAGTCTTGTTGCAAAATTGATCTTCAAAGTGTCCCATGTGTAAAGTGTGAAGGTTTTAGGGTTTGTTGGTTTTTATAGGGAGGTATCAGAAATTCCTTGTTAGCAGTCAAAACTTAATGACTAGCATAGCATGGAATCCTTATTTTATCGCCAAACCATAGACATGGTTTAAAGGATTACCTGTTTAAACATTGTTTTGCTAGTTCTTAGGGATGCCTAGTTAAAATAAGCAATATTTTTTCTGTGCATTTTAATTTCTCTCAGAGAAACTGACCTGTGGGCGAGTCCTCAGTAGATGTTTATTTGCAGGATTCTAGGTAGCCTTTTCTATTGCTCTCAGTTAGGTAAAGAAGATAGAAATTGACTGTGGAAGCTCCTCTGTCTACTACATTGACTGTTATCCTAATTCAGAAGATGCAAATTGTTTCCTAATCAAAAATGATATGAGGGAATTTACTCTGGAAGGGGAAAATCAACTGACTTTTCCAAGTCAACTTAAATTGGCCTTTTGAATTTCTAAATTCAGCCTGTGGCCAAACCCTAGAACTTTGAGCCTGGGAAAGAATTTACGTAACCAGCAGGGAGGGAGGCCCTTTGCCTAAGCACAAAGTCACAGTTTTATGTTGCTCCCTCCACTGTAAGGAGCTTGGAAGATGTTCTTAGGTAAGGCAGGGCCTGCTCTGGCCATGAGCTGCAGCTCTTCTGCCTTTTTATGTAATCTTGATCATTGGAAGGCAATTGACCTCAAAGACATTCCTCCATTGTCTTACTGTCAAGACTTTCTTGGGTTTAGTTAGGTGTCATTTGAACTCCTTTGGCATTTTTCTTTGTAGTCGTAAGTTAAACTCTTTTTACTAAGCCTGACTTCACAGGGAGTTGCTTGACTTTGTAGGTCAAATCTCTGCACTTTAGTTCTTGTGGCTCAGTGAGTTAGTGGCCACCTTCCATCATTTCAACAATCCCTTTACCTTTCAAATGACAGATTTTTTTCAGTTCTGAAATTAGCACTGTTGAACAAAGACCCAACTTGGCATCCTATAACGTGTTACAAATAGAGTCTAGTTAATGTACAATAGTGTGACTTTGGATTTAAATAGCCTCTGCTTTTCTTATTGAGCATAAGTTACTCTGACAGAAAGAGATCAGTCAGCTTTGTAGGCAGATGCACCTCTGGGCCTACCTTTATCTAGAACTTTCTGACTCTTTTCTCCCCTGCCAGGCTGCCAGCCAGCCAAGGGCAGCAGATGTCTCCAACAGTCCTTTGACATCTTACCCTACCAAGTCATCCAGAGGACTTGAGACATCAGTAGTTTACCACAAAATAATCCCAACAAGCAATAGTGAGGTACTTTTCTGTCACTGTTTTCCTTTCACATTCCCATTTAATGTCTCGCTCTTCAGAGAACTGATGTCCTGAGCCTTTGCACCTAAACCCTTTGCATCTGGTGTCCAACCCAGTGGGCAGCCTTCTGCTCACACAATAACAGGCCCATTGCAGGTAGAGAGAATGTCTTCCTAGGGAGAATGTCAGTAAATACTTGAATATGCATGACAGTTTGTTGACTTGAATGCAACCACAAGAAAATACTACAAGTTAAGTACTTGTATATAGGGTAGGTTTCCTTAAGTCTCTTTGACCCATTCTCTGTAGTTAATGTGTGTATCTGTACTATTGCAGGCTTTTGAAGAAAATTCATGTAGATAGTATGTCAGGCATCAAAGAAAATGCTTCCTGTCATTTGCCAATGTCATATTTGTGGGTATTTATAGTTGATTGTATGTATGTATATGTATCCATATGTAGAGTGTGTAGCCATAGATGATATATGTACATCAAATTTATTTTTGTTCTTAATAACCAGTGTGATATGAAAAGCAAGTAAAAACCTCATAGGATTATAATGCAGTTATTGAGAGTATATATAGTGGTACTGTTTTATTAAACTTAAATTCAAATGATATTTTGATTAAATTTTTTAATAATATTTTATGCTAGAAAAGTCCGTCTTTGAGCTTTGAATCACCAGGGCAAAAATGACTCTGAACTAACTTTGTGAAACTATTTCGGTGTACTGTGTACAATACCTAGGGTGTAGCTCATTATAATTTGGGACATATAAAAAGAAAAAACAAAACAAACAAAAAAATACAGCCAGCCTGTGTAGTCTTACGAGTTCAGTATTAAGAAAGAGCACTTAGACATTAAGTCAACTGACTTTGGGCTTATTACAAAATGTGATGCTCTATAGCACACGTTCTTTATTGTTGTAATTAGCCCAGGAAAATAGAGCTTTCAGAAGAATGAAATCGGTACCCATCCGGTCGCCACTGTACCTGTGTCTGTGCCGTAGTAGATGGAACCACCGTCCAGTGACCCTCCCTGACCGTCTTCACCTTTCCAGAAACATTCCAGGGGCTGAAGTTGATCAGGGCTTCCCAAGAGCGGGTACTGTAGTCTAGGTTTGCAGTTGCACAAATTAGCACTAAGTGTCACAGGTAAAAGAATTGCAGGACAGGCTACGGACCAGGTTAAAACTTTATTTAATATTTTTATACTTCGGTCTCTTTTCCTGCCTCTCCCCAAAGAAGAGCCACTGGCCTTAGTTGTTTGAGCTTACTGCTTCTCTTACAGTGTGTAAATAGATAACATAGAGATTAACATTTTATTAACCAGCATGTTTGGTGTATTTAAATTAGCAATTGAGTGCATTTGAGTGAGTGGTGGGGTGCAGTGTACCCGTGTCAACACACTGCCTCTTGTTCTTTGTATCTGATTCTGACAGTGGGAGCTGCGGCAAGGGAGGCCCGTCTTCAGCTCCAGGCTGTGGTGGTTTCTTGGTAGTTACACTTGATTTTTTTTTAATTAATTCTACAGTCTCAAACTATTTTTGCAAATGTATCATATTTCTTAATTTGTTCTTGCCATGCTGTGAACTGGCTCTGTGACTGAGCAGCAGGGCCCATGTTCTACAAAAGTGTGTTTCCTTCTAAAAATTATAGTGGTTTGCAAAAACATCCATTTGATTCAGAAATCATATAGAAAAGGAGTAGCAATTTCATTTTGGGCCTTAATCATTTGAAATGTCTGGACTTTTACTATAAAGCCATGTAGGTTATAAAGCCAAGTAACCATTTGGCTTGGATAACAATATCCACTCTATAGAGAGTATATATGCACATTGATTTGTAATGCCACAAGGAGACATTTTTTAAGCTATAGGAACAAGAGAATTAACTAGACCAAACTGAAGTGGGGGTGGGGTGGGGGAGATTGGGTAGGGTGAGCTGGTTGCCTTCCATTCGGGGCAGCTATGCGTGTGTCAGGCCTCTGCTCCTGAGAGGTTCAGATCCAGTTCACTGTAACCTTAGGTGTGTGAGGGGGAGTACCCTCACGTGTACACACACTTGCACACATGTACACATAGTAAATGTTTTAAGTTACACAAACTTAAGACACAAAGGGCCAAGGCGTTGTAAAGGTGATGAATGAAGGGAGTGGACATTACATCACAGAATGTTTTCCAAGGGCCAGCAAGGTGCTTGAACTTCATTGTTTTAACTCAGAGATGCATTGCACTTTCAACCAATCAGTGACCGGATGCGTAGCACGTCCTTCCTGGTGTCCCACCGAGTTGATGACTTTCTTGTATCTCATGAGTAGCTATGCCCTGGCATCCCAAAGTAGCCTGGGAAAAATGCCAGAAAACTGGTATGCATCCTTGCCCAGGGTGGCATTCCTTTGAGAAGTACAAGGTCAGACGCAACAAGCACTTAGCATGGAGCACTCTGTGGACTGTCCACACTCCCCTCTGAGCTGTATGCTGAACAGGTAGGCACTTTTCCATCAGCAACGACAGCCAGGAAGGATGTGAGAAGGAACCTAGCTAAAATAGATTTCCCTTTGCAGGGTAGAGAGCTGAGCTCTCACTAATAGTGTTAAAAAATAAGCACCTTAACTTCAATTCCTGAAAATGTTGGCTAGAGAAAATTTTGAAATTTCCTTTCCTGTCCCTCCTGAGCCTGCATTGCGAAGTCTTCAGACGCTCCCAAAAGTGTTCCAGCCACAGGCTCAGTTAAGGACAGCCTGCAGGCCAGAGGCTCCTTGCTCTGAACCCTGAACCGCAGGGCACTGAAGTGGGGGGATGGTGTGGCCTCTTTACAAAGAGGAGCTCCCCCCCACCCTTGCCTTCTGCACAGGGGCTTCTGAGCCTCAGCACACCCTGGGCTTCACACCCCCCATCCTGGATTTAGAAATCCAGCTGTCCCAGCGAGCTGACCCTGCTAAGGCAAAATATGAAAACAGAGGGACTGAGTCTCGGGGGTGACATATGACATGGGTATAAAAAAAAAAACCTCTGACTGATGTCAAGACCACATATTTTGCCTCCACAAGATGTAAGCTGGCACACTGAGTACCCAGGGATGGCTGATATCTTTGCCTTTGCTTCCATATTTCTGGAAATGGGTAATGTTCCATTTCTGTGGGAAGGGTTAGGAACACTAAGCCTACTGCTTAGCACTTCTGCTCAGTCTCTATGAGAGCTGTCGTGTAACGACTTCATGCCTCCCTGAATTCCCTTCTACCTCAACTTGTAGAAGCCCATTTCTAGAACAGAAATGTACGCAAGTGGAGGAGTAGCACTGTCGGCCCTGATTATGCAGTGCAGGCAGAAGGATGGTAGTTTGTACCTGTGAATATACAACAAGCTTTTAACTTTTCCAGCCTATTTATCTGGATTATATTTACTGTGGCTCAAACTAATGGACAGTGTGGAACATTCCTTTACCTTCAAAGTTTTCTTCACCAATCATTTCAGTCTCATTGCAGTCCTGGTGCCATATGTCCCTGCAAATTGTGAAAGTAATTAGTGACAAAATAGCAGCCTACTCCTTTTCAGTGGCCAAACTGTCAGCATTAGCAGACTTGAGTAAGCTAGCGGTACCGGATCATGTACTGGAAACCTGTTCCTCACTGTCACCCACCAGATTCAAGAAATGCCATCTCCTAAGAAATTGTGGCATTTATGGTGGTCACCTTTTGAATGGAACAGTAATTTCTGTGGATATTGTTAAAGTGTTTAAAGACTATTTTGAAATTAAGTTTACATTTTACAATTGCTTTATTTTTTATTAAAATAATTGTATATAAATATTACCCTATTTCACTGTTGAAGTAAAACCTAAACCGTGTAGACCAGTGAGTCAGCTGATGTGTATAGAAGCTGTGACATATAAATAGTACATTTCTCTATTGTGTAAATGTTCATGAATATAATTGTTCCTGTGTTTTTATAAGTTGGGGGTAATTTGTTGTTGTACAACAACAAAATTTATTGCATTGAAATGGTTTTTATGTCATAGAAATCATGCAAAATAGTGAAGGATTTAAAATATGTATATGATATATGTAAATGTACAAACTTTAGAAAGAAATAAATCCAACAAATTTCAATCGTTTGGGAAATGTTCTTTTCTTAAGCAACTAGAAAAATACCTTTAAAAATCAACAGGGTTTCCCTGTTGACACAAGGATTAAAGTCTCAGCACTATCAAGCTATCGCCAGCCACTGCGCCATGAGTTTGACCCCTGGCCAGAGAGGTGACCCACATGGCGTGGCAGACCTCTCCTGTCTTGCCCACTGCTCCCCTCAGCAGTGTATTTCAGGAGATCTGTCTGTTCTGCTCCCCACTCTGTCCGGTGAGACATCTCACTCCCCGCACCTCTGGCCTTTACCTCAGTTCTTGTATGCATAAATAAAATCTTTTTTAAAAATAAAAAAATGACAGTGTACACCTTTTCCATCAAAACACAACCTCACCCCCACAGTGAGAGATTTGGCCAAGATAATTGGTTAAGATATGAGACGATTCAGCTCTGTTAACTTCTGTGGGGAATGCATTCATACAAACATGTTGGAGGAACTTCGAGGAGCCACAGTCTTCACTTAGAACTTGGAGCAGAGAAGAAGCAAAACTTTCTGAGGGGACTTGAAGAATTCATTTGCATTCCCATTTACTCTGACACCCTAGAAAGCAAATGCTGGTCACTGCTTGCAGTACCTGGTATATTCATTTATATTCTCATAACCAAACTAAAAATAAGATCTGCTAGCTTAGAGAATAAAAAAATAATCACTCGGGGAGTTTGAAGCAAAGGCATGGGTTACACCCTAAAAATAGATAAAACTGCTCCGTGACAGCAAAGCTACTGTGATGAGTATCTATCTCAAAGAACTAAATGGTTTGGGATGGGGCAAGAAGACAACAAATGGATCCTTCAACATACTTTGGCTTCCTCTAAAATTTTCTGTTTAGAATATAAATCTCAAACCTGAGTTCCTATATGAACACTGAATCATTGTACAACTTAAACTAATATATGCTGATTATATCTCAGTCTTTTAAAAAGTAAAAACATGAATCCTCATGCCCACTTGTCCTCCAGAGCTAGGAGTTCTGCATATCTTGTCATATTGTTTGTTATCCGGTGAATGATATTAGAACCAATGGAACTACAGAGGTGATTTCAATGAGAGCAAACTAAAACCCAGGACAGATTAAGAGCGTTATGAAAAAACTATCAACTCCTCTCGAGAATCTCATCTCCAGATTAACTATTGCACAGTACTTAATAGTGAGACTTAATAGTGAGTCTGTTGAATCATCAATTTTTATTGAAAAAGTGATAAATAATAAGATGCACTGGAAATATTCTTTCTAATATTAGAGGCGAGACAGTTCTATATGTCATGGGCCAGTAAGCTTAATACTAATTCTGAGCATGGTTTAGATTGACTATACTGGGGAAGCAGCAATTGCTGGATGCCAAGGTGGTCCCAAGAACAAACCGTTTCAGGCCATAGTCATCTCCTATTTTATAAAGTTAGGTAGGTTTTTGAAATGCACTAGACAGAACAGTTAAGCCATAACAGAGAGTTCAACATGGTCTTCAATAAAATGGGTCTGGGTAACATTGAGAAATCTGATAAATATGTGGGTTTTCTCAAAGTGGGTGTGTCCCCCCATCTCCAGTCACTTCGAATGATGTGAATTCGTAGCTATATATATATATATATATATATATATATATATTCCATATATATATACTGTTGATGTACTGCTGCTGAGCTTGTCCCCACCTGCAAAATGACTGAGTCTGCAAAAGGCAAGGTTAGGAAAAATATGTATGTCATAAAGCTGGGAGAGAATGATAATACTAAATGACAGAATCAGGATTCAGAAATACCTCTTCAGGCAGAAAACCTGGCCAAACTGTCACTGTGACATGTAAATACGTAGGAGTGTACATTTCAGTAGTAAAAAATCCTACAAGGTCAAGATGGGACAGAAGAAGAAATGCCTCTAGCTTCACTCCACAGCAAGCTCAAAATCGGAGTGTGGAGCCACCAGAACGGCCAGGCCGTGCCAGGCACCCTCCTTGTCAGTGGGGCCTAAGGCGGCAAGGCCGAAGCACTTGCAACCAGCACCGCATCTGGCTGGACAAAGGCCTTGAGACCTGAGGTGCAGGCAAACCAAGGAGTGTGCAAAAGTCACGTCTGGGTGGCCAAAGAGAAACATGAAATCAGAGGACTATGGGGAATATGAAGCGCTTAGCCCATGATAGAACCAACCAACGAAGACTGGTTTTAAGTATGCAAATGAGTCTTACGCGAAAAAGAAATGACAAGTGGAGGATAAGCTTCCAGATTGCTCACAACGACCTCCCAGAGTGTCTCGGGTATGGGGATTACTTCAGGCTGAAGTCAGTTGAGACCCTGCAGGCTCATGAGAATGTTTTGCCACTTCCTTATCTGCCTAGAAGAATGAAAATATACCCAGAATTAGGCTTTTCTTTATCATAAATAATCTTTCTCCCAGGGAAACTTAAATATGGCAGAGAAACATCTAATTACAAAGCATCTGATTTTCGGCCTATGGGTCACCCTCTCTTCATTATGTGAATCCCCCTCTTTTTTTGAAGTCCCAGGCCCCCACCCCATTCCTTAGCTCAGGATATATATCCCCAGTTCTCAATGACCTTAGAATCCTTTTTTTTTTATGTAGATTCCCCATATATATATTATAATATGATCTACATAGTCATATATAATATACATACCTACAAGTGTAAATTTGCTTTTCTTCTACTCATGTGTATGATATTAATCTGACTATTTGATCACACATGACATCAGAAGCCAGGCTCGCTGCAGGAACCAAGCGCTGAAGAAGAATCTAGTGGCAAGGAGGTAAACAGCGGGACAGTCCCATCTGCTCTAAACGAGGCATTGCGGGAAGCTGCTGATTGGGCTAGCCATATCTTGAAAGAAAAGTCCTTCCCTTCTGTATCGTTCTCCAGAAGGCAAAGCTTCTGTGCCAATAGGCAAAGGAAAACTATTTCAAGGTTCGGATCCATTTTTACGGGGCAGGTAATGATGCCAGAGGTTAGGGCAGGTAATGATGCCAGAGTTTAAAACATGTCTCCATTTAGAGGAGGCAAAATGGTAGGTGGCCAAGAGCTCGAGCAGGGGCCAAAAAGACCTGACCTTTTAGAGTATTCGTAGATACACTTTATTTAAATCTCTGCCATTATTCCATGAGCACCAGGAAGTCTCTGTATCTTAGATTCTTTCTTCTCAGGGTTATTTGCATTTAAAATTCCTAACCTAGTACATGGACAAATTAAGCATTTAGCAAAGTTTACTTATCGTATTGCTAATGTTGCTCTGATTCACATTGCGAGTCTTCCGCACACTGAACGCTTTCACACGGTCCTCATACCTCAGAACTCCCGATCTGTGTTCTAAATTTTAGAACTAATGTTCTAAGCTCTCTTAGTAGCACAGGTACTCACCCTGTTTCCCTCTCAACTCAAACTGATTCTGACAAGCCTTCATTTTTACCATTGCTAGCATTTTTTTCTGAATATTCTGCTGTTTTCCCACTGTGAATAGATGCTTCTTCAAAAGCAATTAATCATGAAAGCAGATGGAGTGGTACTGGCTACAAATGCCGGGGCCCAGCAGGGGGACTGGGTGCCTGTGCCGCCTCTCACTCCGCCTGGGCTGCCTGCAAGCGGTCCCTGTGCCATTTGGGATTTTATTAGATCCGCATTTCCAAACTGAGCTGTTTTTTCTTCCTGCCATGCTGCATTTTCCTTCCCTTTTCTTTGCGGCTCATCCTCTTCTGGCTCACTCACTCTTTCTCATCATGACCCTCTGTCCTGTCATTTGAATTCCTACTTTTATGGTTTATGTTCACCAATAATGAGCTAGCCTGTGACACCATAGGTCCCTAACCCAACCCTGATAAAAGCAGAACACCCCAACCTATTCTCTCCCCGCCCCCACCACTGACCTTGCCATGTGACCCAGGTATACTGTGTAATTTCAAGGTCCTATAAGTAATAAGCTTCTATTTCTTTATTTCTTTAGTGTCCTGTGACTACTGCTGAAGGGCATTTTGCAAGCAGGATAAAACCCAAGGGTCTGCCATTACGATGACAATATTGCTTGTAGACAGCCTGAGACTCACAATAACGAGGTCACTGGGGGCTGTTAGGTCCGTGTAGCTTCAGCTGGGACGGTTATCCCTGCCTCCCTGATGCTTTGGGGTCCAGCATCGCCTCAGGCATGTTCTCTTGTCAGCTGGGCAGAGGAACCTTAAAAATATGCAAGATACACCGAGGCTGGGGCATGGGACTGGGACACGTTCGCTGTGTTTTATTGCCAGAATCCAAGTCATAAGGTGAGTTCAGATCAACAACAGGCAGAGATTCCACTTTTTGATAGCAAAGGCAAAAGGTCACATTGAATAGGATGTTAGAGAGGGAGGAAAGGCCATTTTGGCAATCTGTCCCACCACATAATTTGCACTTAAACTGGGTCACTTTGAAGAATGAAAGAGGATGCTTTTAAGCATTCCATGGAGGCTGCAAATATAAGCCATGACTGCAACAAGTGTTAAGTTACTAGGGCCTCTGTCTCCTGACTCCCGCCTCAGGGCTTTCCATTCCCCCCACACTGAGTAATGATGCGAATTTGAAGATGTTGAAAGGAAGTTCAGAAACATTGAGGGCACCACAATCCAGACCAAAGATTTGCATATAACATTGCAGGTGACCAGGCAAATACCCATAAGGAATTTGTCATCCTGGCTCCTCTCTGTAACTCAAGTCACTTCTTTTTTTTTTTTTTTTAAAGATTTATTTATTTATTTATACAGAACTGGGGTACAGGCCAGAGATGCAGAGGGTGAGAGGGTTCACCAGGGACAGAGAGGGGCGCAGAACAGGCAGATTGACGAAGTACACTGCTGAGGGGAGCAGCGAGTGGGTCAGGAGAGGTCTGCCAGGCCATGTGGATCTCCTCTGGGGCAGGCAGGGATCGAACTCATGTGGAAGTGGCTTAAGCTTCTTAGTGCTGTGCTTTAACCCGCTGCGCCACTAGGGAGGGCCT